AATTATATTGTGGCTTACTTCTAAAAAATTCTGAAACTTCTTCGTCGCCTAAAGACATACAAATTTATCTATATATAATCTCTTGATAAAATAATAAACTAAATATTTCAACATTATTTTCGTATCATCTCTTTCTATCTCTTTAATTTATTAATTTTATATAAAATAAAAAGAATACTCTAACCTTCTGTATTTTGGCTGCTCATTTCTAAAATATAATCTAAATGTTTATTCTTGTGTCAAAAGCATAATAACTTTATTAGTTCCGAATTAAGATTAATTTTTTAAATGGATGATTAAAATAAGTAAACTTGTAAACGATAGAGATGAAACTTACTTGTAGTTCTTTGCTGTATTTTAGTTTGCAGTTCCTTGTTGTATAATCGATTTGAATGAGAGAAAGCATGGCCAAGTTTTAGTGGTTTTAGAGTACAGTTGGCGCACATATCATAATGCAAAAATCAGATGATTTTTAAATCTATTAATTGAGCTGTTTTTATTATCGGATTTGGTGGATTTATTTAGATAACCGCAAGGTAGTTTTACAGTCGTTTAAGAGTTGGCGCATATATCGAAATACAAAAATCATTTAATATTTCTATTTTATATTTGAGCATTCCTATTACCGGATTTGGCGGAACTAAAGTTATGACGTAATTTTAGCATTTTTGGGTTTTCTGTTTGTGTGAAGTTTTTTTTTATTAAGTTTCAGACTATAATTTTTTTTTCATACCATCCGATACTTGTTAGGACTCTTGCCCAGTTAATTTTCAAGAAAATTTCAGTTTGCATGTAAAACTTTTTTTCTATTAGAGAAAAAGTTGTCTCTTAAATGCGCAGACTAAACTAATTTATCCAAAACTAAAGTATCACTACCATGACATATGCGCAACAAATTTCAAACAGTGTTCTCAGGTTTTTAGAAATTTTACACAGCGTTTTAAAAAGTTCTCTCCCTTTAGTTTGTTATAATATATAATATCTTTATATATATGTAATGTAATGCATATAATATTTATAGGCCTTTAAAAATGTTTTACTTTGTTTTCTAGAAATTTGGAAAATATTTAAAAAAATTATGAGTGTAAGCGAAAGGATTTTAACCCAAGCGAAGCATTTCAACCACTTTGGCATGCTGTATTATCTTTTAACACTGTTTCATAAACAGAAGACTTATTAAACTTTATAAAACGGCATATAAAATAAGGAGATGAAATTATAAAATAAGGAGATGAAATGCTATAAAATAAGGAGATGAAATTTTCAAGTTAAATTAAATCTGTAAAAATTTATATTATCTACTTTATAAAAATACTGATTACTAATTACAGAACATGAAGTTTACATGTTAAATATATACATTACCGTCATAATTACTCGAATGGTCATATTTTTTTAATATAAGATATCAAACTTTAATTAACTATTGGGAGAAAAACTGAAAACAATAATTACCTGAATTATGTTATCTTCCTATTTATTAGGTCTACAAATAAAATCAATATAAAGTTAGTTTATAATATACTTGCCTATTAATCACCCTTATCAACAATAACCGTCATATATATTCTTGGCATTCTACTTAACGACCAAGTCAATTCTATGTCACAAACTAATAAGTTTTTTTCAAAAAAGAAATAATAACACCACTGTAAATCAATTTATTTATACATGATAACGAAACAAAATATATAAAAGTTTTATTTACAAAAAAAAATTCAACTACATCTGCATTATTAACTAACTACAAAAATACTAATTAAAGATATAGCGCAATATTTTCCCACCGCTATCTTCTCATATTTTATTTTTTACAGGATCCATACTAAGGATCCTTCTCATATTTTATTTTTTACAGGATCCTTATTGAGAAAGAAAAAGAAAAAAAAATGGCGGAGGAGAGCGAGCTTTTGCTCTAAATTCGGGCCCACAACTTATGTGCCTCGCGAACTGCAATATGCTGAAAAAGCATCGTAAGATATATCTACGATGAAAAATTATCATATGATAGAATTAAAAACATCTTTATATAATAATCTTTATATAATAATACTACAAACCAATTTGCCTGCTGCTATTTTTATATAGCATTTTTAAAAACGGGCAAAATTTGAAATGAAAAGGAATTAATAACAAAATTAATGAAAAAGTCAATTAAACAAAATAACGAAACATAAAAGCTATAAGTGCAAACAAATTTTGTAATTTGACTGAAACACAAAATTATTTTTACCTTGATGGCAACAGACTAAATTCTTTATAAACTATTAGCTAATGATCAACAAAGTAAATTTTAAATAATTAAAATTTACTTAGTTAAAACCATATTTAACAGTAGACCAAGTAAACTTATGATAGTTGCTAAAGTACCAAAGTAGAACTAAAGAAATAAAATAACAAAATTTAAAAAGTTTGTAATACAAAATAATTTATAATACATAAAAAAGATTAACTGCAGTTTAAAGTATTCACAAAATCTTAACTGACAATAAAATACCTTCTTGCCGTGGATAATCATAAACACAGTCACAGCAGCAAATCATTTCAATATTTTGCATGTTCTACTGACTAAAATTTTGATAGTGTTTAATGCAGAAACAGAATCTTTCACCAAAAATTTACTTAATATTAAAAAAATAGAAACAAAATTTGGAATTGAAAAAAACGCAAATGTAAAATTTTTAATAAGTAAATTTTAAAAGATTCTTTTAAAATAAATTAACTTAATAAAATCTTACCTGAATATCAAACACCTCCAGACAATAACACTCTACTAAATTATTAGATTCATAAAAAATACGATTGAATATCTAACACTATTTAAAACCAATAATAATAAAAAACAACTTACTTATATTTAAAATAAGGTCAACATTAGCTTCTATAAAATTAACAGCCTGTCAAGATTCATCCCCTACTAAACAGACTGTTTCATTAAGTAAAGCATTAAAATCTTTAGCAACTTCAAAAACAAATTAACAAATACATACTACATATAAATAAAAGCATACTTAACAATTATATCATTTATATGATAATAGAATCTAAGATATCTCAAGAAATACAAAACTTACCGCTTGCAAATCTAAAATGCCTTGTGCATAACCAGTTAATAGCGGTCTGACTCTTTCAAAACTATAAACACAGTATAATACTATTTCGATAGTTATCTGAATTGTCATTGTTGAGCACTTGGTTTAAAATGTTTAACGGGGGCAGATATGAAACTTTAAACTTTTTTATTATCTTAAGATTAGGTTATTTTAACTTTATATCATTTTTAAAAATAACCAAGTTGGAAAAAATGATTTATTTTAAATATAAAATAAATTTTTTACTCATATTCTTAATAGAAACAACTTATTTTATCCCCCTGACTGTGTTCAAAAAAAGTTTGTCGCGGAAAGCTTTAACTATTAAAAAGCAAAACAAAACAATTTCATAGTTCTCTTTTTATTGTGTTCTATTTTTGAATTTTTAAAAAAACCAATAAAAAATTTAAAAAAAAAAGAGAAGGTTCTAACGATTGGACTCAAACCTCGATAGATATTTCAGAATGTCGTCCGCTCGGTCACACTGGCAAATATTCCTTTACTAAATACTTAGATACATATAAAACACGATTGAATATTTTACATAAAATTACATAAAACTAATTATAAAAAAAAAACTTACTTATATTCAAAATAAGGTCGTCTTTAGCTTGTATAAAATTAACAGCCAGTCAAGAATCAATACAACACCTATAAAACAGAATGTTTCATTAAGTAAAACATTAGAAATTTAAAGTTCCGTAATTTTAAAAACAGATGCAAAAATACATGCTATTTTTTTAAGTATATTCAATAATTATATCATTTATGACAACAATAATAGAAGATACAATGTCATTTCAAGAAATACAAAAATCTTACCGAGTAAACATTTGCAATGCCTCGTGCAGTTTGTTCAGATCAGTTTAAAGTGTTCAAGTTGACTCTTCCAATCACATACGGAGAATCATACTATTTTGATGGTTTTCTAAATTCTGTGATTGTTGCGCACTCGGTATAGAATATTTAACAGGGGCGTTGTAAATTAGCTGTAAAACTATAAATATTTTTATTACCTAAATATCGATAGTTTTAATTTTTTTTTCATTTTAAAAAATAATAAATTTCATAAGATAATTTATCTTAAATTTAAAAATTTTAAATATTTTTTAATAAAAATACATTTTTAAAACCCCCTTACTGTTTTAAATATTCAGGTCGCCGCGTGGCAAGTTCAAATCATCAGCTTGCTTTTTTTGTTAAATGCACTTTATAGATTTTATATTCTATATATACACATGTTATATACTCATTTTCCTTGCGCGAACTCAACTTAGTTGGAGAAATGTAAATGTGAAACTAAAATAACATGACAATTAAGCGCAACAAATTTCTCCTGTTTTTTGATGTTTTTAGAACTTTTAAGCTTTCTTTAAAAATTCTCTTCCTTTCGTTTGTTTAAGTGTAAAATATTTTTACATTTGTTAAGTATATAATCTCTATACATAATCTTTATTTCGTACTTTAAAAAAATCGAAAATGAATTTAAAAAGAAAACATGCCATAGGTAGGATTCGAACCATGGCTCTTCAGGTCAGCTGCCAGCGAGCTGACCACTAAGCTATGCCACTATGAACGAGTGAACAAATTTTAAAAATATATAGTAAATAAAAGTCTTTATAAAACGACCATCGATCAAAATTAAGATGTTGCCGCAATGCAGTTTTCAAGTGAAAGTAAAACTTAAAAACTTGATACATGTTTTAGTATGTTTTGACATTTCACATTTTGAAGTTTACGTAAGTTAGTTATTAGCACACACTTTCGTTAATGTTTTCTTATAAAAAGGTGCTGCGACTCTTCCTCGCCAGTACCTCGGTTGCAATGGCTGCGTTGGGTTTTGTGTCAAACGTGCTCGAAAGGGAACTACTACTATTGAGTTCCGTATTATTATATAAAGATGATATGTTTCAGTTTTAATACACAGAACACCCAAAAAATACATAAGTATGCAAAACACATTACTTGACACTGATCCTGTGAAAACAAAAAAAAAAAAAAAAAAATTAAAAAAATAAATAAATTTTTTAACTGACATAATAAAACAGAAATGTATTATAATGGCACTTTGCTTAACATTTGATTTTTCTAATGTTTCTAAATAGAATAAAGAAATTTATTAACAATAACATAGAAACTAATTTGCAATGTATAGAAAAACTAAAAAACCTGAAAACTAAAAAGTATTTAATGTTTGTAAACAAACAGCAACAGAATAGAAAAAAAAATTATTCTAACCTTGATTGCGACGTACTAATTTTTTTTTTACACTATTAGGTAATGATCAACATTGTAAAGTTTAAATGACAAAAGTTTACTTTAAGTTAAAACCATATTTTATTGTAGATAAAGTAAATTTATGATTGTTGGTAGAGCACTAAAGTAAAACTAAAGAAAAAAATAAAATTCAACTAAATTAAAATGCAGTTAAACATGAAAAATAACTCTACCATCATGAGAAAAGGTAAAATTATAAAAACAAACAAACAAACAACAACAATAAAAGAATATTTCTTTTTATTAAAAATAAGAACCTCTTATTTAAAAAAATAACAGATAAGGACACATCAATGAACAAATAGACTTATCGATTTTTTTTTTTTTTTTTTTTTTTTTTTTTTTTTTTTAAGTTGATTAAGGTGCCCCAAGAAGTCCTTACGGTCTTATCACAGAGCACCGCGGAAGAGCATTTAATGGGAAGTTCACGCCTCCTTCCCAACCGATGTCGCAAAACTTGCCCAGAGGTGGGGTTTGAACCACGGATCTTACGTTTCTGAGGCAAGTGCGCTACCACTGCGCTACGGCTGTTAAATACGGCTGTTAATCGATTAAAAACATACAGAGTGAAAAAGCAATTTTGAAGTTCTTTCACAAATTTATTGTAAGTACTTATTAGATACCCCCTAATTCAATGATTATTGTTGATTGTTATAATAATTATTAACTGCAATTTAAAGTATTCACAAAATCTAAACTGAAAATAAAGTATTATTCTGACACGGAGAACCATAAACACGGCCACAGCAGCAAATTATTTTAATATTTTGCATGTTCTGCTGACTAAAATATTGATGGTGTTTAGTGTAGAAACAGGATGTACTTCTTTTCAACAACTTTAGATAAGAGTATTCTCTTCCTCTTTAATAAGGGGAAACCTTTTTTTCTTGTTCTGGGCCCACACTCTATGTACACTATAGGATGTGGGCTCTTATCTCAATTGATAAGGGCCCACATCCTTATTCTTATTGAAATTGCTAAACGATATTTTAATTTCATACTTAATTATAAAACCTAATTTTAATCTTGCAGAGATTGTTACAACTTAATTGGCTAAAATAAATATCGAAAAAGTAAATATAATTTAGAGCAATCAAATTATTAGTAAAATATCTCATAAAATAGAATAACACAATCACATTAGCAAAAAATAATGTTTTTCTTAATCAGTTTTAAAGATGAAGAAAAATTAGAAATTAAAACCTACAATATGTTATAACCTGTGGCACTAAAATTAAAATACCAAACAAAATATTGCTATTTAATTTTAATTAACTAACAATATTTTGTAACACTTAACACATACACACAATAACACTTTACTAAATACTTAGATTCATATAAAACACAATTGAATATTTTACATAAAATTATTCAAAACCAATAAAAAAAAACAAAAAAAAAACTTACTTATATTTAAAAAATGGTCGTCTTTAGCTTGTATAAAATTATCAGCCTGTCAAAAATCAATGCAACACCTATAAAACAGAATGTTTCATTATGTAAAACATTAGAAATTTAAAGTTCAGTAATTTTAAAAACAGATTAAAAAATACATACTATTTATATAAGTATATTCAATAATTATACTATTTATGACAACAATTTATGACAACAATAACTATATCATTTATGACAATAATAATAGAAGATAATATGTCATTTCAAGAAATACAAAAATCTTGTGTACACATTTTACAATGCCTCGTGCAGTTCAGTTCAGATCAGCTATAAGCGTTCGAGTTGACTCTTCCAATATTATACGGAGTATCATACTATTTTGATGGTTTTCTTAATTCTGTCATTGTTGCGCACTCGGTTAATAATATTTAACTGGGGCGTAGTAAAGTAGCTGTAAAACTCTAAATATTTTTTATTACTTTGATATCAGATAGTTTCAACTTTTTTTTCATTTTAAAAAATAATAAATTTAATAAAATAATTTATTTTAAATCTAAACTTAAATTTTTGAATTATTCTTTTAATAAAAATATACTTTTAAAACCCCCTTACTGTTTTAAAAAAATTTTAGGTCGCCGCGTGGCAAGTTCATCAGCTTGCTTTTTTTTTTTAAATGCACTTTATAGTTTTATAGATTTTATATTCTATATATACCTGTTATATACCCATTTTTCTTGCATAATCTCAACTTAGTTGGAGAAAACTTAAAATGTAAAACTAAAATAACATGACAAATAAGCGCAACAAATTTCTCCTGTTTTTTGACGTTTTTAGAACTTTTAAGCTTTCTTTAAAAATTCTCTTCCTTTTGTTTGTTTAAGTGTAAAATACTTTTACATTTGTTAAGTATATAATCTCTATACATCTTCAAAAGTGATTAGTTTTGTATTTTAAAAAAAATCAAAAAAGATTAAAAAAAAGGGTTCCAGGCACGGGAGTTGAACCCTGGCTCCCCTGATTAGTAGCTCAGCAAGCTGACCACGAAGCTACGCCGTCTTACCAATTAGAGACATTTTTAAAAATATATACTTAACGAAAAACTTTATAAAACAGCTATCGGTCAAAATTTAAGGAGATGTTGCCGCAATGCAGTTTTCAAGTGAAAGTAAAACTTAAAAACTTGATACATGTTTTAGTATGTTTTGACATTTCGCATTTTGAAGTTTACGTAAGTTAGTTATTAGCACACACTTTCGTTAATGTTTTCTTATAAAAAGGTGCTGCGACTCTTCCTCGCCAGTACCTCGGTTGCAATGGCTGCGTTGGGTATTATGTCAAACGTGCTCGAAAGGGTACTACTACTATTAAGTTCAGTATTATTATATAAAGATAATCAACAAACTCTTTGCAGTTATTCATAATGCCTACAATGTTCTGAATATACATAAAACAAATAAAAATATAAATGAAGAAATACAAAAGTTACCACTGAATTAAGTCCTTAACATATTTTAAGTTAAGTTCGCTTTCCTCCCACGTTTCATTTTCCTGCTCTTCAAAGCCATCAAATCGTATATTATTTCTTCTGCTTCTGTCTTCAATTTCCGCAAGTTTATCTTTAAATTCTTCATTGTTTAAAGCTTTTTCATTTACTTTCGTGTTGTGTTAAAGATGTTCTTTAAAGTCGTATAACTCTTTAGTCTCTTTTTCATACATTTCATTTTGAAAAGTCATTGCACTTTTAATATCTGCTATTTCCTTTTTTAAAATTAAATTTTCACTTTTAAGTACTTCCATTTTTTCCTCTATCCTGTTAACTTTATCGCTAAAGATTTTTAATATTGTGTTCTCGTGCACTTCAAGTAATTCTTTAATTTGAGTAAATGATAATCCTTTAGACATTTTTTTTTTTTTTTTTTTAAAAAAAATTTAAAACACGTCCGTTCGCGGTGAGTTGATAAGTTATTTTTTTTGGTAACTTTCCGCCAACACGTGAGAGTTGGCCTAAAAAAGAAAAAAATTCAAAAAAGGCACATTGAAGTGTTTTACACATAAGATCTTATTTAAATATTTTTTACTGCATTCACCAAGCTCAAGCCTTAATAACCTAAGCTTATTTAATAAACAGTTAGAACTGAATAAGTATTTTGTCATGATTCAATCAGAGCAATCATGGCAAACTCATAAATATAAAACATTTTTATTCACTAAATTTTGTAACGAAAATAAAATTTTAAAATATTAGAATTATTCAATAATGTTTTTTTACAATTTTGTTAGGCTGCAGCCAATCTAAAATGTTTAAGAATATTTATAGGCTGCTTAAATAGGATGACATAATTTGTAACAGCAAATGATTTAGATTCATTTTATTAAAGTGATTGTAAATTTTTTGCTGTTTCAAAAGCTGGGCATTGAAATATATTGTCCAGGTTTTGTTCTCTAAATCATGTTAAACATAATAAAATCAAACTCAAAACTGTTGAGCAAAACCTTTGTTACCAATTCTTAGTGTAAACTCGTTCAAATATTCTATTGTTAAGTTTAAGTTTAATATTAAATAATGTGATTATGTATATTTTTTAGTCGACTTGTTCTGATTTTAAACACCTTGATAACTTATTAATTTAACTCTGCACATAAAAATTGAAGAAAAATAATAACATTCAAAAATATATATTTTAACTTGGCATAAGTTATATATAATATATATATATATATATATATATATATATATATATATATATATATATATATATATATATATATATATATATATATATATATAAATATGTATATATATATATATATATATATATATATATATATATATATATATATATATATATATATATATATATATATATATATATGTATGTATTTTGGTATAAAAAATCAATTTTTAAAACTATATCATGTCACATATCATATACAAAAATATATACAAATATATTTGACATGTACTTTATTGAAATACTTCGAAGTTACTGAGTTGAAAGGGGGTTATAACCACAATTGAAATAAAAAGGAGTCTCCTCAACTGCAGCACCCTTTATGGCCTTTAATAAAGGCTTTATGGCCAAAATCAGCTATTTCTTTTAACTCTGAAATTAGGGAAACATGAGATTGTGATTCATTTTGAAAATTAAATACTGACTGAGTGTATATCTACTAAGACCTATTATTGCATTATGTATTTGTATAAAAAATATTATGTGCAAATATTATATATGTTAGAAATTTTTACTATATAAGAAATGTTAAATATACAAAGTATACAAAAACATAAAAAATAGGTCAACAGTTTTTGAAAATTAAATAAAGTTTTAGTAACTTTTATTTATTATTAATATGATAAAAGTTTAATATTTAATTCGAATGTAGAATATAAAGAAATAATGTATTAATTATTAGTATCACAGAACATAATGTTAAAAACCATTAAATTAAAATTAGTTTAAAAATAACATCTTTTACTGGGGGGAATCTTTAATAATTTATATATAAAAATAACATCTTTTACTGGGGGGAAATCTTTGTCTCAACGTCATTTTTCTTATTGGGTCATCAGAAATTTTCATCAATTAAGACTCATCAAAAAAGATATTTTGTAAGTTTTATAAATTTTAATTTTTAAAACAATATTAAATTATATGAATAATTATAAAATTTAAATAAAATTTTAAAACAATAAACCATTTAAATACCTTTATTTAACATATATATGCATTTGATATTTATACTTACATCATATACTTATTACATTTAAAATATATAACAAAATTTTCTATCAAATAAATGTATAGCTTATATTTTATTTACTAAAAAGCTAGCTGTAAAATAAGCATTATTGTTATTTAAGGCCGATTAATTAAGCACAAAAGTTTTTTGTTCTCTTGCTGATGTTAATCTTGTTTAGCTAAAGTTTAATTTTATATGCTTGCCTCTTTTATTTTAGATGCCTAGAATACGTTGCTACAAAAAATGGCATCATGGAAAGTATGTACTCTAAGAACAACACGTTGGAGAATGTCAAATGTTGATTTTGCTCAACAAAAGAATGAGAGCACCTCTGATGACAATTATTCTATTGATAATGAATTTATGGATTATTTACCTGACTTTACCCAGTGGGCACGCGACGGAATAACGACGTCTTATGTACGTTCTATTTACGTATAAACACAATATGAACCATAACAGAACGTCTTACGAACGTCTTTTTCTGGTCCGTCCCGAAATTAAGAAAATTTAAATTTTCTTATTTTCGGGACGGACCACAGTGGGGTATTTGATTGATTTAGGTGGCCAAAACTCAATTTTTCAGAACTTCAAAAATAAATTTAAAAAGTTATTTTAGCTATGCTGAATGGTAGTGAATATTATAAATGTTAAGTAACCGCAAATAGTATTAACAACAATCGGTAGGATATATACAAAGTTGATCATTAATTATTGTCTACGCGTTTTCTTTTGGTCGCTTTTTTTTTAAGCATTTATCAGCCTTAAATAAAGTTTAATCAAAATATATTTCAAAGTGTTTTGTAATGAATTCTAATAAAGTTGGTAAAGGTAAATACATTAGAAAAGTTTTAATTAGTTTATTTGTGATTATATATAAGTCTGATGGTTTTGTAAAAACTCTTTTCTTTCTCTTGTTTTTTGCAATTTTCACTGCAAAATATAAGTATTTAGTAATACTTCCAAGCATTTCCAGGTTGCTGTTTTTTTTATTAACAGATAGGCCAAGGCTTTGACTTCAATGTTATGTAAAAATCACCTGCCATTTTTTGCCATTTTGTTCTCAGTATTTGTTTATTCACTGTTCCTTTTCTTAAGTGTATGATGGGAAATGACCAGGGGGGTTTGTTGTTTCTGTATAAATTTTTTTTCTTTTTTTTTTTCTTTTTTTCTCTGTGTACTTTAAAGAAAGTAAATTATAACTTTTTTTTAAATAAAGTTTATCGATTAGTAAAATATATTAAAATATATTTTATCGAAACTATTAATTATTTTATTTAATAAAAAAAATACTAAACTTTGTGTTCAGCTATATTTTTATTTTAAACGGAGTTTATCTTAGGTTCTTCAGATGTCAGGAAAACGACCCGAAGAATGTTTTTGATCTCATGCAGAGCCAAATTTAATCAAACATGAATGAGAAATTTATATTTTTAGAACATTACATATTAGTAAGAGATAATTTCTGAGACGATCAAATAAAAGAAGTAAAACAGTTTATCGCAGTTTAGTTACAAGTTAAAACAAAGATGGTCAATAGCAAAGAAGGATAAAAAAAAGTTTTCAATAAAAAATAGTGATTGTCTAGATGAAAATAATTGCCTATTAAAAAATAACAAGCGAGATCAGAAAATGAAAAATTAATTGTCAAACAAAAAAAAATAGAAATACAATCAAATTTTAGAAAAAAAAAAGGTTTATTTGTAGACGTACCAAAGCCTGGATTTGGTAACTCAAATGATGGCAACTGAAGCCGACGATTTTTTGCAT